TGTAGAGGGACGGCTTTCTCTCCCTCCGGTCCTGTTCTTTCCATATCACTGAAGAATCCACTGCTCCAGTGACACAGCACTTTCGTTTGGAGACAAGGCAGGGGAGCTGGCGCAGCTCTGGAGGGGCAGTCGAGACGCGCAAGGAGATAGGAAGGGTACGGAAGCTCACCGGGACAGAAAGCCCCTGTGCCTAGCAACTGGGAAAACAAAGATTTCCCTCCAGGGTAACCTTTCCTTCCCTCGCATATGCTGGTCATGTGGTAGGCCCCCCCTCCCCCCTTAGAGGAGGAACAAGGGGCCAAAGAGGGGCCTCCTGGAACTCCCATGTGGGCCCTTGCATGACCAGTCCCCTAAGCATTAACCCCTAAGCCCTCAGCTGTGTTTCAGCTCCAAGCCCAGAAAAGCAGCAAAATCAAACGAGGCTGAACTCAGGACCAGCTGCATTGACTAATGACCCCTGCCAGGGCACCGACCAATCAGCGGAGACCCTGAAAGGTCACACCTGGAAAGCTGAGGAATATTCTGTTGAGATCCTCTCCTGGGACTGCCCCTAAAATGCCCACCCTAAAAAGCCCTTAGGGACTTTTTGCTGTTTTGTTCTACATACTCTCACGGAGGACCCAGCCTACCCACCTTCTTCTACCACGAATGCTGAAACAAACCAAGTGCAGTCTGACTCCACCATCCTAACACCCAGCGTCATTTTTGCTGCCGCCAACAATCTCAGATGCACAAAAACAATAATTTCAAAGTTAAAGGATGACCTTTGTCAAGAAGGCTACAGGCCTAAGACATGACTACCTTCCATGACCCACTTTTAGTTAGGAATTTTTACGTTCAGACCACCCTGTGTGGTTACTTTGGTCTCTAGTTTTGTGTGTGTGTGTAATTTTATTGATTTCAGAGAGAAAGGAAGAGAGAATCATTGATCAGCGGCCTCCTGCACATCTACTGGGGATCCAGTCCTCAATCTGGGTATATGCCCTGACCAGGAATTGAACCAGGAACCAAAACAGTAACCTCTTGGGTTCCTGGATTAACACTCAATTGCTGAGCCACACGCAGCTGGTCTGGTCTCTGGTTTTGTAAGGTCTACCACTGAGGTCTCCTTGTGAGCTTGTCGGGTTTAATATGTGGCCTTTTTCTCAACCACAATGGTCTCTAACTCATAATGGTGGTGTTTTGAGAGTTAAAGTGCTTATACAGAGATTAGGACAGTGCACATTGTAAGCTCTCAATAAACAGTTATAATTACAGCTGTTGTACTAATTAGGCTTGCTTGGAGTCATGGGGGTGCCATGGTGAGCTTGGCGACCTTATATTTATGACACCAGTTCACAGACTTGTGTGAGTTTTTTCCCAGCAGTAGTAGGGATGCTACAATTATAGGGAACTGGGAGGCTAGCATGTGTGTTAAGAGGTGGGATGATGCAGGGTCTCAGCATGAATTTTCGGAGTGGAGCAGCTCTGGATGAAGCTACACCTCGGTATGATTACTTGGGATGGTGAACTGGAAGTTTGAACCTATTGTGCAAAGTTTCTAGCTAGAAGGTCGAGGCGTACAGACCACAGGTAGGGATACGGGCAAGGGACACATTCTAAGGACAGTCCTAGGCAGAAGAAGGATAGACTGGCCTGAATGCAGTGACCTTCTCAGAGAATAAGGACACTGGTGCGCCGAAGAGGCCTGAGGGGGCACCTGGAGCAGAATATATAACTTGCTTTTCTGCCTCTGTGTCTTCAGCCCCACTTGCACCCCAGCAAGTTTACCCAGCACGTATACCCAGTTGACAGGGCATTATAAAATAATACTATGTCATAGGACCAGGAACTGGCACATTTACAGGAAAGATGACAATAACTAATTGAACTGCGGGAAGAGGAGGTACAGATCTCTCTAACAGACATCCAAACCACCCTCAGCTGTCATTCCTTACTCTCAAGGGCATTCCAAATGCCCAGTGACTCAGTTGGAGGAGGTATGACTCCCTCCCACCTTCAGAGGACCAATTCAGAGTGGCTATGGGGGAGGCCACAGAATAGGGAACTGGGAGGCTAGCATGTGGGTTAAGAGCCCAGACTGCAATCAGATTCCCTTGACCTCATCCCCTCTCTACCACTTAGTAGCTGGGTAACACTAGACAAGTCCAAATAGACTTTATGTGCCTCAGTTTCCTCACCCATAAAAATGGGGATAATAAAAGTGCGCTAAAATATACGTAAAGTGCTCAGGCCCATGCCTGGTATGCAGTAAATGCTACATAAACTATGATTACAGGCTACCGAGTGGAACGCTGAAATCCCTCTGGAATGACAGCTGGGCTGGGGGAGGGGGAGGGACTGTAAAACAGGTGTCAAAGTCTTAAGTGAGTTAAGTAATCAGGAAGTTAGAGTGAACAGTGAGCTTGCTAACATGAGTCTCCAAGGAAAAGGATATTTTTCTCCTCCAAGAGGAAAAGAAAAGTGGGCTAGACCTGACCCCCCCTAAAGAGGAAGGTCCCCTGCCGCCAGGACGGGAAACTTGAGTCCTTGGGATTTCCATTGTGGCAAGAAGGTGACACTCAGGGAGGAGAGGGAGATTCGGGGAAATTGAGACAGCCCAGTGACGGAGGATCCTTTTCTGAGGAGAGGTAGGGGTCAGAGGAGAGGTGGGTGTTGAAAAGGCCTTTATCTAGGGGGTGGTTTCTGTGTGTGAGTCAGAACCCTCGGGAGAAATGCCGGTAAACTGACCACAACCAAAAAGAGATTAACTCACATTACCAGGAACTCCAGGGCCAAAGTCTGTCACAGGCGCCCCATTTCTCCCGGTTCCTTCTCAGCAGGCTCTCCACCTCATCTATGTGAAACTCCAGGCTTAGGTTCCCAACAGTTCAGTATCCCTGAAGGAATAGCCTCCCTTTCCCTTGTTCTAGTACATGTCCCGGAGGCTGACCCTCACTGACTTGAGGTGGGATGGGGGATGGGGAGAAGGAGGGCATGAGCCTTGCTTGAACCATCTGCCCTGGGAGTGAGGAAAATCTAGAGGGCTACCAGAGAGGGAAATGGGTGCTAGACAGGCAAAAATGGTAATTCCTCCTCATCAAGAAGGGAAGAAAGAGGTAGCATGAGTGATGAATGAGCTTGCTCCAGGTTTCTGAGGCTCCAAGGGGGGGTGGGGAAGGGGCTAGAAAAGTAGGTTTGTTGTCTTTGTCCAGGTCTGAATTTGAAGAAAATGCAGCTCTAGGGCTTCTGAAGCAAGCTTTTCTCAGATCATAGGCTTCTCCAAGTGTGGCCCTTGGCATAGGCCTCATTTGGCATAGCTGGGGGTCCTTGAGGACACTGCAGATTCCCCGGGCCACACCCAGACAGATTTATGGAATTACAGTCTTTGGAGGTAGACCCCCGGCATCTGCATTTTAAAGAAGCATCCAGGTAACTAGGCACACTGTGTTGGGATTGTTAAGCTCGAAGACTGTCTAGCCAGAGAGTTGAGGTGAGGACAGAAAAGAAACCATGGTAAGTGATATAAAATTGGGAGCTCAAAATGCTATGACAAAGAGGTGGTCAAAGGAAAAGAAACAAATACACATGTATAATAATTGTCAGGCCTAGAGCTGGGTGTATTACATCATTCTTCTCAACATCCGCTAGGAGATAGATACTATTCTTCCTGTTTTACAGGAGGGAAATCGAGGCTCAGGAGGCTACCTGGTCACACCAATTGGGCACTGACTCTTAGACTCTGTTCATGACAAGGAGAAACTGCTGGCACAGTTTTCAAGGCAGCTCACCCACACATGGTAACCACCTTTCATTTCCTAATTTCAAAACTTCCTACAAAACTACAATTTCAAAAACAGTACAGTATAGACCAATGGGATGGCATTGAGAGTCCAGAAATAAACCCATAAATCTATGGCCAACTGATTTTTAAAAGGGTGCAAGACAATTCCATAGGGAAAGGATGGTATCTTCAACCAATGGTGCTGGGACAACTGGATATTCACTTATTAAAAAAGGAGGTTGGATCCTTACCTCACACCATTTATAGAAATGAACTTGAAATAGATTAAAGACCTAAATCGAAGAGCTTAAATGTTAAAACTCTTAGAAGGAAACACAGATGTCAATTTCTGTGAACTTGAATTAGGCAATGATTTCTTAAAATACACCAAAGGAACAAAAACAACCAAATAAAAAACACAAATATTGGACTTCTTCAAAAGTAAAAAGTTTTGTGCTTCAAAGGATGCTATGAAGAAAGTGAAAAGACAACCCATAGAGTAGGAGGAAATACTTGGAAATCATATATTTGACAAGGAACTTGTATCTAGAATATATAAAGAACTCTTATAACTCAACAATAATAAGACAACTCATTAAAAAATGGGCAAAGGATTTCAATAGACATTTCTCCAAAGAAGATATACAAAATGGCCAATAAGTACATGGAAAATATGTTCAACATTATTAATCATTAGGGAAATATAAATTGAAACCTCAATGAGATTATCTGCTCCTTACCTA